CTGGAGGGCTTGAGAGCGCTGGTTTAGGGATGCCAGCTGCATGTGCCGACACCAGCGGTGGGTTCTCCACACTGGAAGCCAGTCTGGGATACCGAATAACTGACCTTGATACTCTGGGTGTAACAGACAGGACGTGACAGGACTCTGGCTGATCGGCTGTGATGTGACGTGACTCTGGACGAACAGCTGAGATGTGACGAAGCTCTGGCAAATCAGCTGAGACTTGACTAGACCCATGAAGATCAGCTGTGACCTGACCTGCCTCACGAAAAACAGCTATGACTTGACTTGCCTCATGAAGATCAGCTGAGACTTGACTAGACCCATGAAGATCAGCTGTGACTAGACTTGACTCAGGAAGATCAACTGTGACCTGACTAGACTCATGCAAAGGAACTGTGACTTGACCTGACTCATGATGATCAACCGTGACTTGACTGAACTCAGAGAGATCAACGGTGACATGACTTGACTCGTGAAGATCAGCGGTGACTTGACTTGACTCGTGAAGATCAGCGGTGACTTGACTTGACTCGTGAAGATCAGCGGTGACTTGACTTGACTCGTGAAGATCAGCTGTGACTAGACTTGACTCAGGAAGATCAACTGTGACCTGACTAGACTCATGCAAAGGAACTGTGACTTGACCTGACTCATGATGATCAACCGTGACTTGACTGAACTCAGGGAGCTCAGCTGTGACTTGACTGGAATCATGAAGATCAGTTGTGACTTGACTGAACTCAGAGAGATCAACGGTGACATGACTTGACTCGTGAAGATCAGCGGTGACTTGACTTGACTCGTGAAGATCAATGGTGACTTGACTTGTGAAGATCAATTGTGACTTGACTTGACTTATGACGATCAACTGTGACTTGACGGGGCGCTGTTGTGTCCGCCATTTTGTAATAAGGCTCATCTGTCGCCTCCATTTTGTGAACGTAATCTAGTGCGGGGGCCATTACAGGAGTGAGTGTGGGGTTGTGTTCCTCCGCGATACCCACAGTGAATGGAGAGCCAACAGTCAACAAAGCAAAGTCCAAAAAATAACTCAGTGATGAATGCGGACCCTCGTGAATGAGTTTACATTTTAGCGGTTGATTAATGCAAGTACAGAAGAAATCTATCAAAACATAGTCTGGTAAATCAGAGTGAGGCAATGTCCAGATACTCTTGAATGTAGTCCTCGAGCGAGCGGGTGCCCTGCTCGAGGGCTAACAACAGCCTTGCAGTGTAATGAATGATGGGATATGTAGTCCGGGATGATATGCAAAAGTGTGTAGTGCGAGAGTGAATGAAAATGGAAAGGGTGACCTCTGATGGCTAGCAGACGGAAGTTCATGGACCGGATTCGTGACACCCTTATACCTACACAGAGGTACTGGATAGGTACACTACAATTACAAAAAAGTTACACTGTAACTTCAGTTTACTTACGCAGTTCTTTGCAGGATGCATATCTGGTTGTCACCCCCTTATTACCCAAACGTAACACATTGTTCCCTAATACCTACACGTATGTTCTTTATAGGTACACTATAATTACAGAAATGTACACCGTAAATTCAGTATACTTACATAGTTCTTTGCGGGTTGTAATCTAAAGCATTACCGATAATTTTGTTCCCACCTTGTGACACTTGTTCCTGGTCATAAGTTTCTTGTTTTTATATATTATTACCAAATATTGGATTCATTCCAATCAACATGTTTTGGTGAAATATAGCATAATGAGAGATTTACAAGTGATTTTTAAAAGCCTGGTCATTTCTGCCCAGAAACACAAAATTAGGTAAAGGATTTTCAGCACAGCACAAGGGTTAAATGTTTACACACAAATAACTTTTACGAAACCTTTTAGGTTCATATTGATCATAAACGTTCAATGCCAACATATTCAATAATTAACATTCAACATTATAACAGTTTCATTCTGTTCTGTGTGTATTCAGCTTGTTTATTGGGGGCACAGAAATATGTGTATGTATAAATGGTTAGGTTTAGAGTAAGGGAGGGTTTAGGAGCTCCAAAATAAGTAATTTTTCGATATGCAGATTTTTAATAACTATCTGAAGATGTTGAACTTTTCTTTGTTTTTTTCCTTAAGTACATAGATATGCTTTATATAATGTCAGTACATCCATATTGTGTGTTTCAGTGTATATTTATGAATACTTATGAGATCATGGTGGATAAATCAATGCTTTATTATGTTGCATCATACTCTGAACAACCAGAAATATCCGTCTGTCTTTTGGGTAATGATAAGCATAATATTTACAACATATTCACAGTGATTTTGTTGCTTAATTAACCAAAGTAACCAGTAGGTTAGTTTTACAGTTTTCTCCTTGATGGCATTACAGTTTAAAGCACATAGCGAAGCAGAAGATTTCTGATCTCCCAATTCACATTTATTTGCAGCAGATAAACTACTGTAACTACTGTCCTTGAATCAGCTTGATGTATTCGCTTTACAGGTCCAATATCTGTCATGTGACAGTGGAGGATTAATTAGTTATTGTTAACACGTCTTTGAATATCTCTCACGCAGGATATTGGTGATTAGCTTTGTTGATTAAAAACATAATTTAAGGCTTTCATTTAATATCTTCATATGTGAGACCAATATTTTAATATCGCTATTGAATGATAACCTCTCAACCGCATATGGAAATATAAGTAGCCGTTCATCACAAGTAAATCTAATGAGACTGTAAGGAGGCTCCTGCTCAGAAATGATTTTCTTCGTTCTCTATGTATTGAAGACATCATGTCTTCAGCATGGCTTCCTTGATTTTCTCATTAGTCAAATGGAAACCTGCTGACTAATATTGGGACCCAGTTATGAGTTCCATGTATTGTTAATGGGAAAGGAAGACATTGAAGCCCTCCTAAGGCTTTCTGGGAGATCTCACATCTGGTTTGTACGTCAGCAAGCTGTCTGTAACCATAGTGACAGGGGGACTGATTTAATGCTTTGAGAAATGCAAAATATTCACAGGCGTCCACAGGAGTAAAGACTGTAAAAGAGAGGAGAAGCTTTGAAATCCAAATCTGAAGACAACTAAACATCAGTCAAGAGCCATAAGAACTGCCCAGAAGGATTTCTACATGCCTGATCTCTGAAATGCTCCGGGGTTCTGTTGTGTTTCTAAGTCTGCTTTAGTTAAGGAAAATACCAATCTTCAAATGCTGAAATCGTTTTGCATTAACTGTAACTGTAACGGGGTTGTATTGAAAGGAAGAACTCTGAAAAATGCTCTATATGTCCTTAAGTTTGCATGCTGAACATTTCAAAGCAAAATCATTGGTGTTAATAGGGATTTGTTTCTTCCTAACAGCTTCTATCCTTCTGGGAATACATTGCTGAGCAATGGGGCTTGGCTTGCAGCTGTCGTTCAAATTTATCCCAAAGGTGTGCAGGTCAGTCAAGTTCTTCCACATCAGAGTCAGTAACCCATTTTTTTTATGGTTTTCTAGATGAACTTGTGGACTGTAACATAGCCATGGTCAAAAAGGAACCTTTCTTTTTCATAATGTTGTAAGCACACAGTTCTCTAGAATGTCGTTATAGCGTTAAAGGGGTCATATGATGTGATTTCAATTTTCCTTTCTCTTTGGAGTGTTACAAGCTCTTGGTGCATACAAAAGATCTGTAAAGTTGCAAAGACTAAAGTCTCAAATCCAAAGAAAAAAGCAAGATTTTACCTATTTTAGTTTTTTCTAAGAGATATGACTAAGCAGGTGTCACTTGTGGGTGATGCTGCAATAGACTTCATAAACCTAGGGTATAAATAAAATATAATAAAAAAAAAAAAATTTTAATTTAATTAAATCTCAAAATTAATACAAATCAATTTAGCTGAATTGGCACATTTGTGCTAAACAAATGTAAATAAATGCAATAAAATTAAAAAGAGGT